CCCCAAAACCCCAAAACCCCAAAACCCCAATATATAAATGATAAATAGAAGATCCAGTAATAATAAATAATATTTCCAAAATATGAAATCATCTTCTTCTGACCAAGATGTTTGGGCTGATGAATGCCAAATTTTATGTGAGGATGAGTGCACACCTCAGATTCCAAAAGGCACCAAGCAATTCTGCAATACCCTGAAGAGCAATAAAGGCAAGGCGAATAAAGCTGACTTTGAAAGAATGGATGTTCTTGATTTTCCCTCTAGAGGTCCTCGCAATGTAGCCAAGTCTAGCCGTCCAGGCTCACGTGTGCTGAAAACTCTGTTCAAGTTCAACCATTTAAAGTATTCAAAACCGAAATCCCAAAGTTATGGTTGAGCTCTATCGTTTTCTCCAGATAAGATGCAATGAACTCAGTTAAGGAAGATTCCTTCAAGTGACATACTCAAGAGTCTGAGAGGTTAGGCTTAATTAACAGAGATATTAGAGCTCATACAATAATTATTATCTAAATTATTTCTAACCCATTTCAAATTTCCAGGATTGGTACTTCTTTACAAATAAGCAGGGATGAGTCTTTGATTGCTTGCACTAGTCTTCAGAAAGGCATTGCGTCTCTTAGCCTTCTCAAGAAGTTGAGGGCTATTCATTCGGGTTAGTTCAACAACAAATTTATAGGAAATGCTACCATAAAGTTACTCCCCACATTTCATAAGTTTCAAAAGTAAAAAAATCTTTAAAATGGTGGCTGGTACTAGGGCTCGGCAGGAAGATCATGAGCTGCCACAGGGTTCTCCGTTAGCTAGCCATTACTTATGCGTGTCTATTCTCAGCATGGGATCTGAGGAAGCTCCAAATTTTTAACCTTCATTAATATACCAGTATTTTCCTATTAGTTAAACGGTGATTAGAAGATTTCATGGGGAGTACTTTTCGCCAATTCAAGAGGAAAAATTAAAAAATACTCAGAACTTAGCTCTAGCTGTAGGATCAAGCGCGATAGACACTTTTGCAAGTTAGGATTATATTTACTCAAGTTACCGAAGTAAATATATAACAAGCTTCACCATCTTCTGTCATGATTGTCATTAAGAAGCATAAATCTGAGCAGCAGAAATTAGTAGAATTTGTCGAGTTTTATCCTAAGACATGAAATATTTTAGCAGTATGGCTCCACTTTTTCAATAATGATAGCAGTGATTAACACTTTTTGGAACTCCTGTTCTATAGAACTCTAATATATATTTCATATTTGAACAGATTTGCATCTGTTTGAGGAATTAGGCCAGTTTTAGTAGAGCAAGCCTCGTCTTTTATGTAATATAACCTTTAGTATTTACACGGACGATCGGGTGTAATTTTGTCTTGATTAAAAATTGATAATAATGTCAAAAGTTTTAGGATAAGTTCATCATAAATCGTAGTAGAGGATTAGGGATGCCTCTTTGTTTTAATTTTTATGCTGATACTTCATCACCCTAATTTCTCAAAGAAGCTGAGTTTGAAGAAGGTCCTGCAAAATTATTAATATAATGTTGTTCCCAGAAATTATAGAAAGTGGTTTACTTTTCATTCTATTAAGTTCCAACCCCTATCTAACCATATAATCTAACTGTTTGAGGAGGCTTCTCAGATTTTAAAGTGCTCTTCTGAATACTAAATATTCTCAGCCTGCTTCTTGTGTAAAAAGTCTCATATCATCGAGATAGCCACTTCATCATTTTTCCAAGTCTAGCCACCATCGTAGGTTTTAGATTAAAGCTACTATTTCAGCTAAAATTTTTATAACTAAATGCTCTCATCTGGGGGATTTCTTGAGGTCCAATAATTTCCTCTATGAACATCTGAATGATTTCCAGTAATCATTGGCTTTAGATGATTCCTAGATGCCTGAATGAGGAATAAAATGGTTTGAATATCAACCAGCAGTCAACCAGAGGCCAATAAGATTTACATGTTTTTGTATTGAATAATACAAACTCATTTTGAATTTACTAGTTTACACAAGTTTCGAAGTGGGAAATTTTTAGAAAAAGGAAATATCTTCAAGAGAAATGATAAATACTTCTTTCGGTCTATGCTCAGTCTATTTAATATTATCCCTATTTTAATAAATAACTAAGAATTTATTTATATCTAATACATAGTGAACGTTATGATCAAAATTTTATATATAAGAATTAAAAATATTCCATCAGAAAGAACTTCTGAGCTGATATTTCTCTAATACCCACCTGCTCTCTTTGCTCCCTTAACCCACATCACCACTCCTAACACACCAATCATCACTAAAACCCCATCAAGGGGTCCTAAAACCCATGCTAAACCCCTCTCCAATTCCTTCCAGCCAACTCTTCCCAATCCCCCTTAAAATTCCAACTTCAACACAAACGTCCCTACTCGGGGTTTTGGGGTTTTGGGGTTTTGGGGTTTTGGGG